AACATGAGACTGAGGCTTTATGGAATCCTCACACAAACCACATGGACAGCAGTCAACAACTTCCCACGCCAGCCTTCCCTGCACTACAGGGTTCCTTCCAGAAGAGCAGCCACCAAAGGAACTGTCTTTTTGACTGGCCGGTACTTAAACAAGTGCTGAAAAAAAAAAGAGCCTGGCACTGGTGGCTCATGCCTGTAAGCCCAGCTATTCAGGAGGTTGAGATCTAAGGATTGTGGTTCAAAGCCAGCCTGAGCAGTAAAGTCTGTGAGACTCTTATTTCCAATAAACCAGCAGAAAACCTGAAGTGGCGCTGTGGCTCAAGTGGTTGAGCTGTAGCCTTGAGCTGAAGAGCTCAGGGACAGCGTCCAGGCCCAGACCACAAGCCCCATAACCAACAGAATAAAAAGAAAAAAAGATGAAAGGACATCCCAATTTCAACCAGAACTAATGGGTAGCCAATGGCCAAGAGCGGGAAGCTGGGTTTTGAACAAGGCACGAAGGAGGCATTGGCTTTGGGATTTGAACTCAGGGCTTGAGTGCTGTCCCTTAGCATTTTTGCTCAAGGCTGGCACTTGATACCTGAGCCACAGCTCCACTTCCACTTCTAGTGGTTAAATGGTGATCAGAGTCTCAGACTGGCTTTGAACCAGGATCCTTGGATGTCAGCCTCCCAAGTAGTTGGGATCATAGGTGTAAACCACAGGCTCAGACCCTGGGCCTTGTACGGCAGCATGGTAAGCTGCGCACGTGCTTCCTCTCACACTGGGGATCACAGGAGGATGCACTCCATGGCCTCCTAACAGACAGGTTACAAATCTCCGTGAAGATCCTGAGTGTTGCCAACAATCCATGGGAGGTTTGCACGTCCACCATCCAGTCCAACAGTCCTGGTCCACTAGGTCAGAAAGAAGCTATTCTATAGCCAGGAAGGAAGAGCTGGTGGCCTGAGGAAGTGGGTCTCAGAAGCAACCGCCATAACAAATACACACCAGCACCAAGTGAGTCACGAGCTTTGAAGAGGCCCAGGGAACTCAGCAGCCACGACTGCAGAGTTCCTTCTTCCTCACTTGGAAAGGAAAACATAGCCAAGTGTACTTTACACACTTCACGTTCAGACAAGTCATGGGTTGCAGATGTAAGTGGAGAAGGTGAGAGAAGAGCACAAAAGAGCGGCCATTGATTGCTTACGGCCAGACAATGCTCACACTCCCGCATAAATGACTAGCTCTGGACACAAAGCGTTTGCTGAGCACTTGCTAGGTATTATTCTCAACACTCACATGTTCTTACCACTGTCTAGAGATGGCAGCGATCCACAGTGTAAATGAGTATACAGGGGACAGGGCATCACCTGTTCAGGGCCATGAAGCTAACACTGAAATGAACTCAGTTTCCAGGAACCTGATTCCAGGGCCTATGTTTTGCCACCCAGCCTTGATGCTTCCTTCTACTTAGAAGAAACAGACCTCTATATAAGAAAGAGGTCCAAAGCTGGGTGCTGGTGGCTCATATCTGTAATCCTTCTTAGGATGCTGAGATCTGAGGATTGTGGTTCAAAGCCAGCCAGGGCAGTAAAGCCTGTGAGACTCTTTTCTTTTCTCCAATTAACTACCAAAGAAGGAAGAAAGAAAGGAAAGAGAAAGAATGAATGAAAGAAAGACAGAGAGTGTATAAGTGAAAGCAAGAATGAAAGAAAGAAAGAGAGAGAGTGTATAAGTGAAAGCAAGAATGAAAGAAAGAAAGAGAGAGAGTGTATAAGTGAAAGCAAGAATGAAAGAAAGAAAGAGAGAGAGTGTATAAGTGAAAGCAAGCCAGCCAGCCAGCCAGAGTGGAGCTGTGGCAAGTGGCAGAGCTAGCCTTGAGCACAAAAGCTCAGGGACAGCACCCAAGCCCAGAGTTCAAGCTCCAGGACCAGCATAACAACAACAAAAGGAAGGAAGGGAGGGAGGGAAGGAGGGAGGGAGGGAGGGAGGGAGGGAGGGAAATTCCAGAAAGAATCCAAGCTGGAAAGAAATCACGCGTGGGCCAGGGCTCTGGGAGGAGCTGCAGTCTGCACGCTTGGCTTCCACATTCGCTGCAGAACAGCAGCGAGTGCACAGGGGTCCCTCGGGATCCTAGGCCACTCAGGAGCACGCTCTCTGTCCAGGCTGTCAGTGAATGCCTGGGGAGGAAAGCTGGCAATGTCCAAGGTGATTCCCACTTCCACCCTCAAATCTGCCACGCCACGGAAGTCCCTTATTCTGAGTTACGGGGAAGCAGGGCGGCCTGCCTGGGGCTGTGTGTCTTGCGGTGTTGTCTATGGCTGCAGCAGATGTCTAGGGAGTCTGTTAACCTCTGCCTCATTAAGGAACAATCGTGCGAGTTATTTTATCCCGTTTCCTTGCTTCTCCTTTTATCTTTCACTGTGAAACCGGAAGAAGAAGCAGAAGCAACAGTGAACCGGCAGCAGGGGCCGGGGGTTCAAGGTATGACCATTTAACTGGGGGGGGGCGGGGGAGACAAAGGAAGGACTAAATTGCCTAAAGATGGCTCCAAAAGTGCAGTTTTGATCTTATGTAAAGAGGAAGGTTAGTCCATTTAGCACACTGCCTCTAAAGCTGGCTGTTGAACAGGAATCAGCACCATCTACAGAAGGCAAAGAGGCTTCTGTGGTTACCGAATATGCGCCGCTGTTTCCAGATCAGACATACATGTATACAAATGTGCTTTTTTAATTAAAGATTCAAACACATGCACATATACAAGATTTGTGTGTGTATGTGTGCATGTATGTATGTGTGCACTAGCACACATCCCAATACTGGGATTCAAACTCGGGCCTGAGCACCATCTCCTAACTTTTTCACTCAAGCCTGGCCCAGTATCTCTTGAGCCACAGCTCCATTTCTAGCTTTTTGGCAGTTACTAGGAGATAGGAGTCTCACGAACTTTGTGAACCATGATCCTCAGATCTCAGCTCCCCAAGTAGTTAGGATTATACACATGAGCCACCAGTGCTCAGCACAAGGGTTACAAATAAACAAATAAATACTGAATCACTAACAGTGAGTACATTTAAGGAAACAAATTGTGGATTGAGACAGCACTTGCCTAGTAAGTGAATAGTCCTGATTTCAAACCACAGTACCATAGAAACAGCAAGCCATTTTAGTTTGTTTGGTTTTGCAGACCCTAAGTCCTAGCACAATTATTCAGTCCTGCCACAATGATAGGAAAAGGAGCTAGAGATGAGATGTAAGTAAGTGGATATGGTTGTGTTACAAGAAAACTTTATTTACAGAACAAGCCAGTGGGTTTTGGTCTATACATTGTACTTGTTAATCCCTGCTCTACATGTGTAACTCATAGGAAGGGCTCTGACAGGAAAGGAAATCCAAACTCAGCTGAATATACACTGTGACTTATACTACACATATACCTGTGTTTATAAAATTGTTTAGGTAATCCTTTAAATAATCTTATCTAATCCATGTCTCAGTCATACTATTAAAAAAAAAAAACTAGCTGCGAGCGGAGTTTATGGGGTCAAGTGCCCTCTTGTGGTCATATGAAAGAAAAGCATCGTGGTCTCCATTCTCTTATTGGAGGTATACAATTCACTTTTTAAGAATGTAACAGGATGTGTGGGGAGATGAGGGGTCACTGAGGGTGGCTGGAGGTGTGGCTCAAGTGGCAGAGTAGTTGCCTAGCAAATGCAATTCCTGAGTTCCTGTCTGTCTGTCTGTCTGTCTGTCTCTCTGTCTGTCTGCCTCTTTCAGATTGGGGAGTAACAATAACAAGGAGCTATCCATTTTCTCATGATTCAGTTCCTCAGACCCTTCCAAAGGAGCCACTGAACAAATAAAAGAGGGAGCACAGGGCTTCTTGGTCAGCCAGGCAGGCTTCAGAAGGTGATTTGAAAAACAATAATCACAGGAAAATTCCCAGTATCTACTACTCAAGACGTTGAAACTTAAAAAAGGGAAAACCCCAGTTTTGAACAAAGAAAGATAATTCCAAGATATAACTTACCAAATCAACACAGACCCAGAACCAGGTCATAGAACAAGTGACAATCATCTACAGTGGTTTTCCCCCTTCAAGAACTTACTCACTGAACAGTTCGTTCTAGCAAACAATGTAGAAAGAGCCAGAGAAACAAAGATAAAGAACATAACCTGAAGGCCACAGTGTAGTACACTCCTGTAATCCAAAGGCAAAGGCTACAGGATCACAAGTTCCAGGCCAGTCCCACACAAAGTTAGGAGGAACTTGTTTAAAAACAAAAGGGCTAAGGGCATGGCTCAGGTAATGGAACCATGGCCCAACAAGAATTACAAATCCCTAGCATAGTTAAAAATATACAAGCATTAAAAAGTAACACAGTCCTGGCAAACAAGCCAAGGAGAAAGAGATACAAGCAAGTATGAAGAGGGTCACGTGGTCAGAACCCAAGAGAAGGAAACAACTCTGTGAGGAAGACTTCCAAAGCAGGAAGATTCCAAGCTTCTCCTGTTAAAATGAGATCGCTGGAGGAAGCGGGAGAGGGGGAAGAGCATCAACTCAAGACTTCAGGCTAGACCCAACACAACGCCTGTACTCCAGGCATCTCGGCTCTCACAGGATGAGAAGCTGGCCTCGGTGGTCAGGGGCACAGTCACTGGGAAGGGCCGGCTCGAGGCTCAGCACCTTCTGTGAATGCCAGCACGACGTCTCCATATCTCTAGCCATGACCAAGAGCTGGAGCCTCTAACATGTGCTCGTCTCCAAATGAGGAAGAGTGGAGCGTTACAAAGCCAAGTAGGTCTGCAGCAAAGCAGCTGTTCTACTGCAGAGCATGTCCCCCGTCCCTCTGATGTTTCAACAGGAAGTGCGGGGTCTACCATCACCCCACCTCTCCCTCCCAACAGATGGCAAGTCGTGTGAGATGTGGGAGCCACACGACGCGCACGTTCTGGGCCCTGGCTGAATGAGCAGAGCCATTCCCTGGGGCTGGCAGCCAGCTCTGTGCAGAGCCATACCTGGGTTGCTGGCGAGGAAGGCCAGGGGACTGTCGCCGAGGTCCGCAGGGCCGTCCACTCGGTGGGGCGGGCTCTCCAGCAGCTCCGCTCCTCCCTCCAGCTCAGGGTAGGTCCTCACCAGGAGACCCAAGGAAGGCTGCAAGAGGAAATCCTTGAGCGTGGAGGAGTTCAGGGTGCCGGCAGCACGATTGTTGATCTCAAGAATCTCATCCCCCGCCTTCAGGCCTGTCGGTGAAAGATGGAAAAAGTGTTCATTCACACACAGATCAGCACAACAGCTTCAAAGTTCTGCCAGAAACGGCATTTCCAAGCCTCCTACGAAGGCCCCAGGCCCCAGGTGCTGCTGGGAGCAGTCTACAAGGTTCAAAGGTAATGACAAGGTGATCCCATGGCCTGGCTTCAAAAGGCTGGAGGAGGCGCCCTTACAGCAGGCTTATTCTGACCCCCGAATGTCCCCAACAACAGCTCACTCCTTCGATCTTTGTCCTGGGAGCATCTGCTGATTTCTCCTCACAAATGCTAATTCTAGCTTTCTCCCTACAATGTTGTGCTCTGATTGTTACAAAGTCTGTTTTATACACACTCGTGTCTATTGATCATTTCTCTGACAACATAATGCTGTTAAGATCTCCCTGGCTACAGATATACAAGTGAGGCTATGTATAGCTATGCTCATTCAGAACAATTTATAAATCAAATGTAATCATTTCAGCCTCCCTCTCTTCTCACCATTTAGGGTAAATAGCTTACTCTTCATTTTGCTAGGATCCTCAAGGGGTCTGCTACTTTTGTAAAGCATGCTGGGAAAGGGACTGAATGAAGTTTGGGATCCTCTAAGGAACAATCCCAAAGAACATGAAGTCTGGATTCACTCTATGGAAGGGGAATTAAAAGAATATTCTAGAAGGCTGAACAAGGGAGCTAAGTAGATCCTGGAAGAAAACTAACAATCCTTCAACTAAGACAGGAGGAAGAGTACAGTTTCTTTCACTCCCCCCCCCCCATTTATGGGATTTGAACTCAGGACCTAGGTGCTATCCCTGAGCCTCTCTGGACTCAAAGGCTAGCACCCTACCACTTGAGCCACAGCACTACTTCCGGGTTTTGAGTGGTCCATTGGAGATAAGAGCCTTCTGGGGACTTTTCTGCCCTGGATGGCTGGCTTTGAACTATGATCCTTGGATCTCTCTTTCTCTCTCTCTCTCTCTGTCTCACATACACACACACACACACACACACACACACACACACACACACACACAGCACAAATACAACTGAAATTCATTTTTTAAATAAATATAAAATATACCAAGGAACTTTACAAGTGAGAAAGGAATGAAAGGGAAATATAACTATTTTTCTTCACATGGAGGGCAAAGTTCTATGAGGCAAAGAAAATGGTGGCATTACAACATTTGACTTAAAAAATGCAAAAAACTTTCCATGTGGAAGGCAGGAGTTTGGATGGGTTTTTTGTTTATTTTGGGTCTTAAAGCAACATATACAACTAGCTATTAAAAGGACTAAAAAAAATTTTTTTTAACTTAGAAACAAAACTCAATGAGGTTTGTCAAAGAGAAGCTGCAGGGATCATGTGACTGGCATGTGGGCATTTTTTAAGGTTGAGTTCACATCCCAGAACCTGTGAGCATGACTTCCTAAGGAAGGAGGATTATTGCAGTCAGCTGTAATTAAGTTAAAAAACTTGGGGCTGGGAAGGTGGCTCAGTGCAGAGTGCTTGCCTTGCATGCATGAGGCCTGGGTTTGATTCCTCAGCACTAGATAAGCAGAAAAAGTCGGAAGTGGTGCTGTGGCTCAAGTGGTAGAGCGCTAGCCTTGAGCTGAAGAACTGAGGGACAGTGCCCAGGCCCAGAGTTCAGGTCCCATGATCGACCCAACAAAGAAAAAGAAAGAAACTTGTGAAAAGGTCATTCTGGATTACCTGATGAGCTCTGTGCCCGCTGACAAGTGTCTGTGTAAGCACATTCAGAAGACACAGCCACAAAGATCAAGGCAATGCAAAGAGGGACACCGAGATGAAGTGATGCAGACATGAACCAAGGAATGTCTGCAGCCATTAGAACTGGGGAGAGGCAAGTGAAGGTTTGCCACACCCACCCTGGGCTTTGAAGGGAGCCTGTCTGTGCATAAATCTTAATTTCTGTTCTTTGCAGAAGTGTGAGAAAATAACTGTTGTTTTCAGCTACCCAGTTTCTGTACTTGGTCATAGCAACCTAGCACAAAACACTACAGGGTGCTTTCTGACTCAGTTATTCTCAATCTGGCTGAGTAAGAGCCAGAGAGCCAAGAGCTGTGAGCAATAAAATGCCTCAGGGGGAAAAGGGGGAGTCTTTGTTCCAGCTCCAGGGGGTAATCGCTCCATGACTGTGGTCATGTCATTGAATCTCTCCCAGCCTCAGTTTCCTCATAGGCTAGATGAAATGAAGTAGTCTACATCCAATTCCACTGAAGAGTTCCAGCAGACAGGAATCTGGTGCTCTTTGGCCAAAGGTGAGTGTTTTATTAACCAAATGAAGTCATATTCTGCTCGGAAACCATCCATGCTGTCTAGTGTGACAAAACACATGGACTCCATGGAAGGCAGCCATCAGGAGGAGACTTACAAAACAAGCAACTCTAGGATGAGCCAAAACAATAGGTTCAAGTTGAATAAAGCCTAAAATAAATCACTAGGTACAAAGTGTCAATTCTCCCAGTGTGGCCAACACGAAACCCAATAAAGAGATGCCTATGGTGGAAGGAAAGAGGAGGAAGTAAAGTTAAACTCAAGGCCTGGGGTTCACAACTGGAATCCGAGCTATTCGGAAGGCTGAGCTCTGAAGATCATGGTTCAAAGCCAGCCCAGGCAGATAAATCCCTGAGTCTCTGATCCCCAAACAACCAGCAAAAAGCTGGAATGGAGATATGGCTAAAGTAGTAGAGCACTAGCCAGAAAAAAAAAGAGTATTGAACTGCGTGCATGCGTGCGTGCGTGAGTGTGTGTGTGTGTGTGTGTGTGTGTGTCTGTTTGTCTGTCTGTCTGTCTGTCTGCATGTCCTAGCCAAAAGGCCTATGTAACTTATAAACAAAGCAAACAAAATAAGCCTTAAGTTCAATTGACATAAACAGCACACTGAGCTTCAGTTAGGCTGAACTGCACTGGACTTTCCCTGGCTGCACATTCTAAGGTCATTTTCACAGGAGCACTGACACCTGGGTGATGTCAGGGCCACAGTATACACTCCAATAAACAGGTAGAGGAAAGGGCTGATCTGGAAAGGGAAAGATTTAGCAGTTGTAACAGGATAGCTTTCAAAGACTGCCTCAAAAGGAGAATCAAGCTAAGAGCAGGAGAAGAAAGCTGAAGGAGGGCGATACTTAATCATCACCTATGACACAGAAAAAGGACTCTGGTCCACAGCGAGCCCTCAGGGAGGGAAGGCTCGTCTTCAGTTAGATGCTGCATCTAACATTATATACTCAAAGGATCTTTCTTGACACTCCCTCTCACATGAAGAGGGCTGAGCCTGTGGCCCCAGAAGACAGGACATACATTAGATTATTCCTGCATCTGCACAGACCCTGCTCCACTGGGTGAACTGATGGGCGACCACCATGTTTTCACGTTGCACCAGGGCTCTCGAATTCAAAGAAGTAAAACAGGATGTGCGCCGTGGATTCCCCACCCCCAAGGCCACGTCAACAGCACACTAGGCACCCTTGTGGCTGATAAAGATCGGCCTCAGGGGTTGAAGGATGCACAAACCCTGCCACCTCTGTTCTTGGCTGAGCCTCAGCTTACTCTCTGTGTTTGGCCTCTGGACTGCCCAGGGCCAAGAAAATACTGAAGGGGGGAAAAAGGAAAGAAAAATCCTTCCCATGACAGTTAGCAGATCAAGAATTCTGACTTTTATTTCCTACTTGTCACGTCTGCTGCCATTTCTGGGCACAGCTGGTCTGTGGGTTTTGTTTTTCCCATGTTTATAGTGCAGGGAGCTTGCAAGATGCAAACCACCCAGAGCTATGCTGGAATCAGCCCATGGAGGAAGGTCGACAAGATGGATAATGACTCCATTCAGCAGTCCTTTCCTAGAGGAGAGTGGTAACCAACTATGCCTAAGCTTAGTGGCTATTTAAAGACACATAAGATCATGCAGAAAGACCCATGTGACCACCAGACAAAAACAGTAGTGGTAACACAGACAAGCCATGGGCCGGCCAGAGGCCACCAGAACTAGGAGGAGGTAGGGACGACCACTCAATCTGAGAGGCTCCGAAGGAACTAGCCCTCTGATACCTTGATCTGAGACTTCCAGAACTGAAAGAAGAGAGGACGACACTTCTACATCTATGTTCACTACTCCACTGTTCACAACAGCCAAGCTATGGAAACAGCTCAGCTGCCCTACAATAGATAAGTGGGTCAAGAAAATGTGGCACCTATACACAATGGAATTTTACTCATTCATTAGAAAGAATATTATTTGCAGGACAATGGATGGAACTAGAAGAAATCACGTTTTAGTGAAGTAAATCAGGCTTAGAGAAACAAACAGCACATGTTTTCTCTCATATGTGGAAGCTAGATTTAAAATACAACTATGCATGATAACATATGCAGGCCTCTGAGCATTTACACAAACTGACTAAAGGAGGGTAGATTAGGTGGGGTGGGGAGGATGCAAAAGCATAATTCTTTTGAATAACTGTCTATCAAAACCAGTACCAGTACCAGAAAATGAAAACATGTCTGGGGGGCTGGGTAAAGGGAGAGCACAGAAATGAAGGAAGGAAGGGTAAGTAAATGCAGTCATGATATTCAATTCATATTATGTACAAAGTGAACTATGTAACTTGAGGGTCAGGACAAAACGGGGGAAATGGAAGAGAACAAAAGGAGGGGTAACACTGATCAAGAGAGCAAGAAGCACTGGACTCACAACTCTACTTATGGAATTGTAACCCCTTTGTACAACTATTTAATAATAATAATAATAAAACAAGATGCTCTTAAGAGTACAGCAAAAATGGAGAATTGGGATTCGAGAGTAGCTCAAATGCACTGAGAGTCAGAAGGAAACAGGCAGGATATAACAGGAGTTCTTTAAAGTAGGGGCAGGGCCAGGCACTGGTGGCTCATGTCTGTAATCCTAGCTGCTCAGGAAGCTGAGATCTGAGGATTGTGGTTCAAAGCCAGCCTAGGCAGAAAAGTCCATGAGACTCTCATCTCCAATAAATCACTCAGAAAAAGTCAGAAGTGGCTCTCTGGCTCAAATGGTAGAACACAAAAAGGCTCAGAGACAGTGCCCAGGACCTGAGTTCAAGCTGCAGGACCAGCAAAAACAACCAGAGAGGGGGGCGGGGAGGAGAGGCAGTGGCAGAAAGGCTGATCTAGATTCCCCAAGTTCTCAACTTCTGCAAAGACTGTCTAAGACTAGAAGCAACCGACATCAGCTTCAAGGAGCATTGCCACTTCAACCAATGGCTTTCCACCAATGCGGACCAAGGCCCAGAAAGGTTTCTCCACATGGTATTTCTCACACCCGTGAGTGAGTAAGAGTAAAATCCATATTCCTTGAAAACGTCGTTGAGGAGAAAATGTCCAAGTACTCTTTTTATAGCCTTTCTCATCCACCAAGGAGAGAAACCCCAAGGGAAGACAGAGAAAAGGCATCCATAGACTTACCTTTCTTGGAAGCTAAGCCAGTGTCCTTCACGCTGTTCACGTATAGCCTCCGAACCCCATCCTCCTCCACCGAGGACAGCAAAAAGCCTACAGAACACAGAGACAGCATTGCAGAAATCATATGTGCTATCCGTGCCGCCAACAACAGACAGTGTGTGCTGGAATCAGACATGTTTCACGTTTGGGGGTTCTATTTGGGGATGAATGTTTTCCTTTTCTTGTTCCTATGTTTATAAAGCAAGCTCACTCTACAGAAGTTACTATTTGTAAAAATAAACATCAGTATGTACATGAGTGCCACCTACTAATCAATGCAGGTGGAAGGAAGTGAGCTAACAGCACCTTGGTTCTGGGCAAGTATCCTTCCTTAGCCTTTCCCCCTCATCTCCACTGTGCAGAACAGGACTGGCTGTGTCATTACGATCTGTTATGCTTTTCTCACCAGGTCAATGTCTTGGCAGACTCGGCCACTGTCACTGGATGTGCTTTGTGTTCATCCCTGTGCTACTGTGAGATGCTGCTTCCTTTAGTAACAATGCACAAAAAAGGAGTTAAATGGTAACTTAGTTTACAAGTCCATTTGAAAGTGGCACTGATTGATTCCATATGCTATTAATGACCTAAGATTATGAGCTAATTTATTTTGGGTTTAGCTACTCCTTCAGAAAGGAAAGCAATCAGGCACTGGTGGCCCATACCTATAATCCTAGCTACTCAGGAGGCTGAGATCTGAGGAACAAGGTTTGAAGCCAGCCATGGCAAGAAAGTCAATGCAACTTATCTCTAATTAAACAAAAAGCTGGAAGTGGAGCTGTGGCTCAAATGGTAGAGTGTTAGTCTTGAGCACAAAAAGCTCAGGGACAGTGTGCAGGCCCTGAGTTTAAGCCCCAAGACTAGTACAAAGAGTGGGGGGAGGTGAAGAGGGGGAGAGGGAAAGGGAGAGAGAGAAAAAAAGGGGAGGGGAAGGAGAGAAGGAAAGAGGTAGAGCAACGCCCAGGCATTCAAAGTGGTGTGAGGATCTCAGGTGTTCCAGGTCCCGTGTGTGCATAGCTTTCTGGGAAAGTCTTTCCTATTCAATCTGTCCAGACCAATACCTTCTTTTCCAGAAGGGAAGTTCCATGGTAGCTACTTCTAAAAGGGTCATGGGTATGAACACAATTGTAAAAAATCTGCAGTATTTTCAGCTCTGGGAGCAAAAGAGCCGCATGTTATAGATGCCTGTATAACACAACACAAAACAGAGACAAGCAAACAACAAAACAAGAATTCATTCCAAGGCTAGGGAGCCATGGAAAGGTACCCTTAGTGTGTGTTTAGTTCGCAGGACCAGAAATGTGTAACCTCCCAAAGGCATAGCTGCAGTTCGCTGCCACTGCCGCCCCCGCGCCACAGCCCCTCCCAAACACCACCCACAAAGCACCAGCCACTGCCCTGAGGACTTTCCACAGGCTCCATCTTATTCTTCTTGAAAAATTCCATTCTCACAGAAACTTAAGAACTTTCAGATTCAGTTTCAAGACACCTACAGACATATCTTTCTACGTGAACCATTTGAGTCAATCAGCCTCAACTTAGCTCTATTTCTTTGCATTTCAAAGTGAATGGGTATGTCATGATTAAAAAAAAAGCGGATAGGATTCATTTTATAATATTCTGATGGGTACTCTTTAAAAAATTAGCATCCAAAAGGGGTAGGCCAAGAAACCAGCTTGTTTAACTAGAAGAGAACAGAGATCAGGTTGACGATAGCCTATGGCAAGGAAGCTAAAGTCAAGGGGCATGGCTCAGGTGCGTGTGCACTCTGTTCCTTCTTCTCTTGGTAGTAATGAAATGATGAAGTTCATGTCCAGGAGTGAGGGAGGGCCTCCAGTCAGTCTGACGACTGAGTGACTATGAAATCTGTACCTCGGGACAGATACGAGCCTGGAAAATTTCTGTGACTGGAAAGACGGCAGAAGAAAGGATAACGGTTGTAATTCCTTTCTAAGGATCACTTAAGGAAGCCAGAGCCTCCAAATGTAACCAGCAGCCAGGGGTCAGGCCAACAAGAACTCCATTCTATGTTTCAGAGAGACAACTCGCCTACATTTCACTGTGTGGAAGGCACACTGCCGTGGGGTCTAAATAACCATTCCTACTTTATCAGACATCAAAAGAAAATTGTATTTCCCACAGCTGGTTTATTTTGAGGTAAAGAACTAATTGGCTAATCATCAAAGTCACACTCAGACTCTTTTAAATAGGATAGCAATGCTCTAATTCCAACAAACTAGCTCTAACCTAGACTGTGAAACAGGAGGCAGAAGATAACTCCACATACACCTAATGACTCCACAAAGGAAGCTGTCAGCTGTGAAAGCAGGAAGTAGGAACTAAAAGAATGACCTAGAGAAGGAAGGAAGAGACTGATACTATATGTAGGGCGGTGGGGGGAAATAAGAAAACAAACTGATGATGAGCAGAAAAATCCCTCCCCCTGAAACGGGTGGACAAAGAAAACTCTCAGCATGATAAACAACAGAGAAATATTCCAGTCTTGGTCCAGTATGCATGCAGACAGCAGGGCAGTCATCCACAGGGAGGACACAAGGCTAACAGGGCTGAGAAATACCCAGAGAAAGAGGAACGCTGACAGGAGACATGGTGTATACTTCCACTTACAGAGCAGCCTGAGGATCGTGCTTCACCTAACATCACGTCACCACTCAAGCTTATTTCTACAGTTAAGTTTGAGAGACACCTAATGGCTGCCGTGGAGAGAGGTAATAGAGACAGAAATGACTAAGTGTTAACTGTTTACAGCTGTTCAGTTATTTAAGAAGTTAGATCCTCCCTAACATGTTCCAACATAGAAAAGCTAAATTTGGGTCATACTCTGTGTATGTATGTATGTGTGTACGTGAGCTGCTGTTGTCATAGTTTTTACATATACTAAAGCCACACTTGGGAAAATATTAGCGTTGGAAGTTCTAATGGGGGCTGAATTTAGATTCCCATCAGAATCTCAAGATTGGAAATCTCTAGCCTTCTCAATCACCAAGCTACTCAGGAGGCTGAGATCTAAGGATAGAGTGGGAAGCTAGCCTAGCTAGACAAAAAAATCTGAGAGATTCCTATCTCCAGTGAACCTGCAAAAAGACATAAACAGAAGCGTGGCCCAAGAGGCAGAGTATCAGTTGTGAGCCAATCAAAAAGAGCCGATCAAGAGTATGAGGTCCTGAGTTCAAGCCCCAGTACCAACACACATGGAAAAAAAGAAAGAAACTCCAGTGCCTTCCAGTTTCACTTCCTGTGTTTGTGATTACCTGTGGTAAACTTTTATTCGAATATATGATTATAATGGTCTTCTGCTGACAATCGCTTGGGGTGCCTAACTTACAAAATAAACTTTATCATTAGTATGTTTGTGCAGGAATGACCAGTGTTGAGAGCTTGACACTAGCCACTATTTCAGACAGCCAGGGGGATTTAATAATCCCAAACCTGAAGATAACGGCAGCTACAACATAGCGGTGTATGCCCCGTCCCATATCACTCAATCTCAGAATAAATGAATTTAAAGAGCTCTGAAACTCAGCCTGCTCTTGATCCTTGCTATTTTACCTTTACCTGACAGAAATTAAGCAAACTAAAGAGATAAAGAGCAATCTCATGGAACAAGTGACTTTGGAGGATGGAATATTTATTTACACTCCCTGCCGCTAATTATGGCTTTAATGCAGAGGTCACACTTCTACATTAGCCTTTTCACACACAGATGTGACTCTCTGCTGCGGGGGAAAACTGTCCTTGGGGCTTTTTGATGTCTTTCGTTCTAAGGTCAAGCTGTAAACAGCACGAAGGTACAATGCAAGCAGTCAGAGCTTCAAAATTAGGTTCTCTTCTAATGAAGAGGCTAAGAGCCTTGATGAAGCTCTCTGAAATGAGCATTCTCTGTTTGCAGGAAAAGATGGAGGGGAATATACTAGTCTGTAAAAAGGTGGAAGATTTTCACATGCCAAAAGTCTTTAGAATCAAGATGACCTATGCCATATACAGAGGGTCTTCGATCATTCTACCAAGAACTTTGATCTCCTCCCAGTACACAGCAGGATCTCACATACTCAGTAGGGCCACAAGATTTGCCTTGGTCTATGACTGACTGGAAGTAAAGCAATTCCCACTTTACCATCTCTCTCTGTCCCCCAGGCAAAGCAACAGTTGATGTCTCCAGTGACAACTGTTCTGGCTGAGTGCTGAAGCACTCACAAAGGATGCACAGTGAATGGGAGACAGCAATCTCAGCTCTGAGCCAATCAGCAGGCTTTAGTGACTGTTCATAACTTTGCTCATTTCTTCTCCAGACTGAGAGGGACAGTATGGATTTCCCTGTTGATTTCACTCAGGTCCCAACTCTTGTTTGTTACTGGTTAAGTCACGCAGTGTAACGTTAAGAGTAATCTTAAACTCATGGACAGGATTGCAGAGTTAACTACCAGGACACAAACAATCATGTGTACAAGCAGGCCTGTTAACACAGAAGGCTTTGTCTGGCTGCAATTCTTTGAAACACCTGCTTTCAACTTACGTCCTTGGCTGGCATCGGGGTGCTTAGATATGGGGACCATCCCTAGCACTCTAACCTAACTCCTGTGCCTTGACTATTTGTGAAAGCCATAAAACTTATGTGGAGCGCCTGCCTTCCTCCTGGGTGGGGTCTAGAACTTTTGTGGGTGCTAAGCAGGAGTTGGGGGGTCCCCGTGGGCACATATATGACCAGCCTTCCAAGAAGACCCCTGGCTCTGAGCCTGAGGGGCATGGATCCCCCACGTGTTGTCCCAACTTGATGCTGGAACTGACTCCACCTATGGGACCCCACTGGGAGAGGAATCTCGGTGTAAGCACACCTATGTCCACCCTGCTACACGCACTGCTTTAGTACCTTCACTTTGGCCAATCTTGCCAGTGTCATTTCATTGTTATAGGTAAGAGTCACGAGAGTACTGCAGGTTCAGTCCTCTCAGCGGAGGAGCAAGCCCAGTGTGGTCCCGGAGATGCCGACACAGTGTCAGAATCATCCCCTTTGACATTGTATTTATAGGAGAAGAACATGGATGGATAATTCCGTCCCATGGAAGGACATCGCTACACAAACCAGTCTGCTCTCACTGTTTCCTTCTGACGAGAGCAGAGCCCCAGTGATTCGTGGGAAGAAATGCATGGCGCCCAGGGTTACTTTGTCTGTTTCCCCAGTTCAGCGATTTACCACAGCACCATGGGAGCCAGAAATGCTCCATGTGAAACGAACCGCAAGGGCTTCTCAGTGGATTGTAGATCACTGCCAACGGGCCCCTGCAAGGCTCAACTGGACCCCCATGTACCAGTGATGGAAGACAAGCGAGCCTACCGTAATTGTCAGCCGCTGCGTCTGCCTTCTCCATGTGGATGCTTTGCGTGACTTTTGGACAAATTTCAATTTCTTTATACAGCTGAAAATTACAAAGAGGAAGCTAGTTAGGGTGACATTATAAAGAACTTCTGAAGAGCAGTCATTATTCAAAGTAGAAACTTAGAATTCCTTGTTTCACTCAGCACGTCTTTTCTCACCTTGTTAAAAAAAAAAAGAGTGTAAAAATTTAAAGAGCTAAAGTAACTACAACCTCTAATGCTGGGAGAGGAAGGGGTGTGTATCAAAGTCAAGAATAAGTAATAAAGACCTTGGCATGGGATTCATGGAAATAAGAGAACTCTCTGCTCCCATTCTATTCTACTCCCATACAGCCATTTTGTAAAAAATTCACAATATTACAAATAGAGACAAAGACAGTATTGGTTTTGGGGTTTTTTGTCAGTCATAGGGCCTGAACTCTGGGACTGGGCGCTGTCCCTCAGCTCTTTAGCTCAAGGCGAGCGCTCTACCACTTGAGCCACAGTGCCACTTCTGACAAAGAGAGCATTGAAACAAACAAGGAATTATGTTAATAGATAACATTCTTTTTTAGCCACAGTTTGCCAAAGTTAGCCAAGAAGAAACTGATTTTTATAAATGAATCACCTGTCTGGAAACCTAAGAATGTCTAGATAGATTAATTTTACAATGCCAAGATAAGAATGACATACAGGCTGCACATCAGAAATGTTTCTTTCGAAGGGGAAAAACAAATCGCTTAAACAGGAATACAGGTGGACCCATTGCAACAATGAGATGTACAAGTCGTTATGCTGAAAATGAACTTTACAACTTTGGTGGGGGGGGGGGGGGGGGGGGGGGGTTGGGGGGGAAGGATGGGAAGGGGAAACAAAGGAGGAGGCTACAATGCTTGACAAGAAATGTATTCATTATCTTGCCTATGTAATTGTAACCCCTCTGTACAGTATTTTCACAATTAAAAAAAATGTTTCTTTCCTTCCAAGCCCAGTGAGACAGACCTGTAATCCTGGCACTGGGGAGGTTGAGGCAAGAGGATGCTAAATTGGAAGCAAATCTGTCTCAAGAAACTAAGGGCTGAGAGGCGCAGGACACGGTGGTCTCTTGACTAGCGCATTAGGCAATGGATTCTTATCGTTAGGACCACAAAAAAAGTTATCACTCAAATTAATTGATAGTCGCTTTTGGTATATCTGAACCTAATCACAATGATTCAGGAATTTCCAATGATATATGTGTGTCTTTGCATTTCACATAAACTTTGAGACAATCTCTATCTTAAAAATAAAGGCCGGGGCACCAGTGGCTCACCCCTATAATCCTAGTTACTCAGGAGGATCTGAGGATCACAGATCAAAGCCAGCCCTGGCAGGAAAGCCTAAGAGAGACTGATCTCCAATTAACCACCAGAAAACCAGAAGTGGCACTGTGGCTCAAGCGGTAGAGCTCTCGCCTTAAGCTGAAGAGCTCAACGACAGTGCCCAGGCCAAGAGTTCAAACCCCACAACCGACCAAAAAAAAGGGAACAAGGCTGGTGAGGAAGTATTTTACTCAATTCCTAAGGCCAGAACACACAGAGATGACACCTGAACCCTTGCTGGCTCCAGTGCTAAAATGCTTCACACTCCACTAAGATGCCTCAAACCTTGGGGAAATGAGCCGAAAGCTGAAACCCAAAATTGAAGGCAAAAATCTAAACACTGATAGGACAAAGTCATGTACAGAATGTTAAAACTATTCGTTGATCTTGAAATGCAAATAAAATTTTATGCATGCTATCTAAGAGAAAATGTATACTGTATCACTAAAGCAAAGTCTTGGTGATTCTCTGACCACACAACCTTCTGAAAGAAACGAGTTTATTCAGACAGGTAGAAAAGAATGCCAATTACTTTCTCTCAACTCACTTTGGCCATCTGAGAGGTGAGCCTATTGGATGACAATTCGGGAACCTGGGATCAGTCTGTTGTATATAATAAATGTTGGGGGATGGGAGAAGAACCTGGAAAGCACATCCCAGATTCATTTGAACATCCTCTCCTAGTGTAAGTTCCACCACGTGCCACATGGTAGGGGCATCAAGCGGAATGTGATTTTATTTGTATACTTCAGAAATATTTCGTATGTTCCATATCTTACCTATAGTAAGTAATGCTGCAATAAACATAGTCGTGCTGGTAGCTGTAGTGTGGTCTTGTTGTAAACATTTGGGTAAATGCCCAAAAGTGGGATTGCTGGGTCATAGGCGAGCTCCCACCCAGATGCCCCTCAGTAGATGAATGGATCAAGAAAATGTGGAATTCTATGCCTCCATCAGAAAGAATGACATTGCCCCATTTGTTAGGAAATGGAAAGACTTGGAAAAAATTATATTAAGTGAAGTAAGCCAGGCGCAAAGAAACATAGGTCCCATGGTTTCCTTTATTTGCAATATCTGTATATGTCTGAGTCAAGCAGAAAAGGTCAGATAAGGTGATGTTAGGGAAATGATTCCTAAGGTAAGTATTCAAATGTTTTTGTTTCTTTCATGCGATTGTTTCTAACACAGTTGTAAGATTATTTCTTTGTTGCTTTGTATGTCCCTCCCCATAGTATAACCCCTGCTTTTACTGTATTTGATGTCGGTATAATTTGTGGAGGGGAAGGGGAAAAATGGATCGTTTAAATAGGGATACAGGTGGATCCATTGTACAAGTCGTTATGTCGAAAACGAACTTTACAACTTTCGTGCGTGGGCGGGGGGGTGGGGGCCGGGAGGAGGATGGGAAGGGATGAGAAGAGGAAAAAAAGGAGGAGGCTACAATGCTTGATAAGAAATGTACTCATTATCTTGCCTATGTAATTGTAACTCCTTTGTACAGTATTTTCACAATAAAAAAATAAAAGAAGAAATATTTCATATGTATTAATTTCCCAAATTTCTTAGAAGAAATCAGTTATATTGATTTTTCTTTTTTTTTGAGGGGGGGGGGTACCAGTTCTGGGACTTGAACTCAGGGCCTAAGTACTGTCTCTGAGGATTTTTTGCTCAGAGCAAGCATTTGAGCCACATCTCTACTCCTGTCTTTTCTGAGGGTTAACTGGAGATAAAGAGTCTCAGGAACTTTCCTGCCCTGGCTAGCTTTAAATCGTGATTCTCTGATACCACCTTTCTGAGGAGCTAGAATTACAAACATGCTCCACCAGCAACCAGCTTATATTGATTTTTAGTTCATGAAATATAATCAACAAAATTATAAATCACAACTTCTTTAAATAAGGTTTACAGCACATATCCTAACACCACGTAATGCTCAAGGAAACACTATCTACAGCTGAAAAAAACCACTTGGGATTTCATGGGTGCCTTCATGAGTAAAAGCCACATCTTTCCACCAGGTGGCAGTATGTAGCTGGTCTAACAGCCTGGGCAAAGATCCAATAGGAGCACAGCTTCCTGGACCATCTTTCTTGGGTTTTGTTTTTACTTTTTCTTTTTTGGTGGGTCATGGGACTTGAACTCAGGACCTGGACACTGTCCCTGAGCTTTTTTGCTCAAGACTAGCTCTCTTTGAGTCACAGCATCACTTGTGGGTTTTATGGTGGTTAATTGGAGATTAAGAGTCTTAGCAACTTTCCTGCCCAGGCTCACTTTGAACCACAATCCTTTTATCTCAACCTCCTGAGTAGCTGGGATTACAGGTGTGAGCCACCAGCACCCAGACTTTCTTGATCTTTTGTAATACTACCTCCCACTTTTCTTCACAATTGCTTCTTTTACTGCTATCAGAAAACTTGGGATGACATACACAGGCTCTCTGGCTCAGTCTTCTTTACCCTGGTTAAGACTAAAGCCAGGTTTAATAAAGCTCTGATGGGGGCTGGCAAGGTGACTCAGTGGTAGAGTGCTTGCCTTGCATGCATGAGGCCCTGGGTTCGATTACTTAGCACTACATAAACAGAAAAAGTCAGAAGTGGCGCTGTGGCTCAAGTGGTAGAGTGCTTGCCTTGAGCTGAAGATCGAGCACAGGGAGAGGGCCCAGGCCCAGAGTTCAAGCCCCATGACCAAACAAATAAACAAAAAAACACTCTGGTAAAATATATGCTATTTCAAGAATAGGTGAGCATTAAAATGGATTTTTAATGAAATCACAATGTTAGAGGTTAGATGTCTTTAGCAATGAAGTGTCACCCAAATTCCCTAGATTTGATTAAGCCAATAATGCAGCATGTTTTCCTTGCTTTCAAAAGCTGAATAAGGCCAAGCACACATACTAGGGCTTGACCTCAGGGCCAATGTACTGTCCCTTAGCTGTTCGGCTCATGACTGGTGCTCTATCACTTGAGCCACACCTCAGCTTCAGGGTTTTGAACTTTCCTGTCAGGGCTGGCTTCAAACTATGCCTCAGACCTGACTCCTGAATAGCTAGGATTATAGGTAAGAGCCACCAGCTCCCAGCTTAGTACGGGATTTTGAGAAGCAAATGCCTCCACAGACCTCAGCCACATTCCTGATCCTTCCATAGACTGTGAACAGACAACCAACTAATCAGGAAAAAAAAAAAAAACTGCCAAAGGAGTCATTTATAGTAACACAATCAGGAAAGCAGATAAATTGATCACCTCCAAGGGTAAGAGAATATTTGATCACCAAAACAAATATAGTAAAAGCCTTTCAAAATGGTCTTTCACATCTAGTACTACTCACTTTTACTACTATTAATCTGACATGGCAGAGAATAGAGGTTCTGGAAGTCAGACATGTGAATGTAATTTATGAGGATGGCTTCCGGCCTGGGCAGAATTTCTGAGACATCAACATCAGATAGGAGGAAGGCTAGGAAGGAGCACAAACTATTTGTGGACTGATGCATACTGAGACAAAAGGACATAATCTAAATATCTAAACACTCCCAAAGAAATATGCAGGAATGCTTCGCTCAGAAAGTCTCTACTTTGGAATATATATTCTGCTTCATGGCCTAACACTAGCACAAAACAAGGAACTCCACAGATAATATGTGAATGGTCTATGAACTTGGCTATTGGTGGAAAAAGATACTTTTATCAAACAGCATTTTCTTCTATCAAAACTGCATGCAGGGGCTGGGAAGGTGGCTCAGTGGTAGAGTGCTTGCCTTGCATGCATGAGGCCCTGAGTTCGATTCCTCAGCACCACATAAGCCAAAAGAAAAAAGCCAGAAGTGGTGCTGTGGCTCAAGTGGTAGAGTGCTAGCTTTGAGTTGAAGAGCTGAGGGACAGCGCCCAGGCCCAGAGTTCAGGTCCCACGACCGGTCTTCCCCTACCCCCCCACCAAAAAAAAAAAAAACTGCATGCAGGCAATAAACACATCAAGGTCTGCAGTGCGGGTGACTTTGTCCTGAATAAAAATCTGTCATTTTTTATATCACATTCTACTTGCTACTAATATCTCAAAATATGACTTATGATTGGGAACCAGTGGCTCATGTCTATAATCCTAGCTACTCAGGAGGTTGGGATCTGCAGTCCAGAAAGATAATCTAAAAGACTCTTTTCTCTAGTTAACCAGCAAAGAGCTGGAAGTAGAGGTGTGGTTCAAGTACTAAAGCACCTGCCTTAGCAAAAAGAAAAGATTGCAAGGTCCTTAGTTCAAGCCCCCGGCACCAGCAAATTTTTATATGTATGTGTATATACATATACAGTATGCCTGTGTATACATATATATGTAGCAGCCACTCAACCTGCCACTAGGTCTTGGAATTTAATGAGCTAAGGAATAGATGAATATATTATCTAACCTATAGATATGTTTGGTAACTATTTTATTCTAACTGAGTTATGGATAAGTCTATGTATTGTATTTTATGCAACTTAATGCACTATTCTATCCAAAGTGTACCTATCTATTCTATCCAATGCACTATCCAAAGCATAAAAAGGCAGGTTAAGAACCTTGGTAAAAATAGACATATTAGAGCAAACAAGGCTATGGCATTTGTTTCCCTAAGGCATCTAGGGCTGGAGACACTTGCAAAAAAGCAAGAGAGCATTCTGTGACCTCTTTGTATTTTAGATTCATTCTAAAAGTCAGAACATGTCCACAGCAAAACTCCACAAACAGACTACACTGGACACACACGGTCTTCTTTCACAGATGACACCACACAATGGCCAGGACTTAAAAAATAATAAGCTGATACAAATTCAAAAGATCTATGTCAAGTATTAGCTCCTTTTCTGTATAGAACACTGAATTAAGTTACATGTCCTCCCTGAAATGAGGATGCAAAAATTCACCACGCAATGATGCAAAATTTATGCTCAGTAGTTTTTGGAGAATTATCAACAACAACAAAAATCTCGCTCCCTCCCCCCACCTCCTTTTCCCTGACTCTCTCTCTTTTGCTCTAAAACAAACAGATTGGCTCCACTGAATGGCTCACACCTGTAACCCTAGCTATTCAGGAGGCTAAGATCTGAGACGCATTGTTCAAAGCCAGTCCAGGCTGTAAAATCTGTGACACTCTTCTCTCCAATTAACCACCAAAATGTTCAAGTGGTAGAGCACTAACCATGAGCAAGGACAGGCTCAAGGACAGTACTCAGACCCAGAACTGGCAAAAAATAAAAATAAAAAATGTAAAAGTATGTAAATAAACACACAGAGGTCTGTCTCACTGTGTTGTCTAGGCTGGTCTCAAACTTCTGGACCCAATGGATTCTCCTGCGTCAGCCTCTCAAATAGCTGGGACTATAGGTATTCTCTTTTTTTAATTAGGAAAAAAAGATTCCTCCTTCCTTTAACAGAGCACAAATACTGGAACTTTCTGCACAAAAGAAAAAAGCACTGGAAATTTCTGTACAGTTTCTCCGTTAAATGTAACCACTGCTTCAATACACATTAAATGGTGCTTAGAAATGGACACCATCAGGACAAAGTAGTAAAGCACCTGCCTTTTAAGCCTGGAGTTCAATCTCCAGTATCACCAAAAAATTAAAAACAAAAGAAAGTGGATTCATCATTTTGCTGCTCTATTAATGTGTGTGTGTGTGAGTGTGTGTGTGTGTGTGTGTGTGTGTGTGAGAGAGAGAGAGAGGGAGGGAGAGAGAGAGAGAGAACATGGGGGCTTGAACTTTGAACTCAGGGCCTTGTACTCCTCCCTAGCATTTTTTGTTCAAGCCTGGTGCTCTACCACTTGAGCCAAACCTCCTGCTTTTTGCTAGTTAACTGGAGATGAGAGGCTTAGATCTGTCTGCCTGGGCTGGCTTTAACTATGATTCTCAGATGGCAGCCTCCTGAGTAGCTAGGAACCACCAATGCCTGGCTTCCCTCTTCTCCTTTATAATATGATCAGATTGTTATGCTTCTTTACAGAAAACACAGGAAGAGGCCTCAGGTAACCTTTTGGAGTGACAGATTGCTTCAAATAATAATTACGGTGCAGAAACATGACTGTATGCATTTGTCAAAGCCTCCAATGGCAATGTTGCTGAGAGTTTAACAGTATGTAAAACATACCTCAATAAAGCTGACTTACAGCACGGTTTCCTACTGAGTTCTCAAATCATTCTTCTCTTTTCCAAAACATGAACCCATGGATTTAAAACTTTAGTCCCACTCTCGCAAAGCAGTGCCCTGGCCCCCCAAAAGATGACTTAGTACAGGCAAGCAGAAAGAATTCCAACGGAGGCCATTGGCTCCCAAAATCTTTCCTTATTCAAAACGAAAAATGTACTACTCAACTAATGAAAAACAACTTATCACCAGCAAACTGCATGAATCACTAGGACTATCTGCTACATTACTCACTATCTATCTCTAATCCATATGTGTGCGCACATGTGTGTGCTGGTCCTGAGGCTTGAACTCAAGGCCTGGACACTGTCCCTGAGCTTTTTTGCTCAAGGCTACCATTCTACCACTTAAGCCACAACTCCATTTCCAGCTTTTGGTGATTAATTAGAGATAAGCCTCTCACAGGACTTTCCTACTTGGGCTGGCTTCCAACCACAATCATCAGATCTCAGCTTCCAAAGTAGCTAGAACTACAGACATGATCCACGGGTACTTTGCTCTAATCTTTTAAAATCCTTGAAATTAAGCACTCACTATCTGACCAATTCATGATAGATAAGCAGTAAGAACAACATCAAAAGCCAGGTTGGGTTCAAAACCCAAGTACAATAAGACTGTTGAAACCCAGACACCCCCAGAGCTGACATCCATGAGCACTGACATCAGTACAATGCTAACAGGCTGGGCCGTGCGAAGAGATGCAGCTTTCTGTTCATCCACCAGATTCGACCCACCAGTTTCAATATGGATATGAAAGTCACACAAAGCCTGAGGTAGTGCTTCACTGTGGAATGAATAGTCAACAATTTAAAACAAAAGGCTACAATGAAGCTGGGAAGAATGAATAAAACCCTATCTGAGCTCTAGCTCTGGGTTTCCATGTTTTAAAGTAGTACCCAGCTACTCTTGCATGCATGAAGGTGCCATCTCCATTCTGGAGGTTCTCGGATAGGTAAGGTCATTTCCTCCAGCTTCAGAGCTCTGAATGCAGCTCATTTATTTGAGAAATTGTTCCACTCCACCGACCACAATTAATACAAGTACACACATAATTTGAAAATAATCTCCCACAGAATATACTTGGACAACAGTCATCAGCATTACCAGTTCATAAATGTCCTCCTCGGGATGCGGAACATAGAACTGCATTTTGTTAGCTATTAAAAACTTCAGACGCAGGTAATGAGCAGAATGATCCAGTTGATGTGTCTGGGAGAGAAAAAAAAGAAAAAAAATGTCTGTTCAGTAAGAAACAGGAGTGATTACATCTCAGCCATGTTACTATGTTTTCCCAAGAACAAGATATCTGTTCAAGGGACAGGGATGTGCAGTTTCTATACGTCTCAAAACATTCATATTCTAAACTCAGACACAGAACTCATTCAGGAAATTCCAGGATATCATACAATTCCATGGGAATAACTGAGTCACACCTTCCCCTTCCCCTCATTTGGTCTGTTAGTTTTTTTTTTTTTTTTTTTTGTCTGTTTGTTTTTGGGGCCAGTTCTGGGGCTTGAACTCAGGGGCTCGGCACTGTCTTTGAGCTTTTGTGTCCAAGGCCAGTGCTCTACCACTTGAGCCACAGTGCCATTTCTGGCTTTTTGGTAGTTAATTTGAGATAAGAGTCTCATGGACTTTCCTGCCTGGGCTGGCTTTGAACTACAATCCTTAGACTGTGGTTTTCAGCCTCCTGGAATCGGGGAATACAGCCGTGAGCTACTGATGCTTGTGGTGTACTTTAACACTGGGTTTTCAACAAAAACCATGGCAAGAAAGAACCTCTGCATATACCTACACAGATCCTTAAAAAACAGTGGGAGGAAACGAAGGAAAGTATTTACTGTGCCCAGGCAGTTATTTTGTCAGCTCTGCAGACTTGGGACTAGCTGTTAACAATTCATTTGCAAGGAGTCAGTGTGAGACAGTGTTTGGATTTCAATCTTATTCATATATTCCAGAGATTCCCTCCAGAGGTAGGTGACAGGTGACAGGTATGAGTGCAACTTTGGAAACACACTGAATGACATGCCCAAGAAAAACAATTCTATGACGGCTATTTCCACTGGTCTAGGATGCGTCTAGCTAAAAAAGCATCTTTGAATTTGTTTTGATAATAACAGAATCATGATAATATGGTTTTATAAATAATTCTCAATGTACTATCAAGAAAGTCAAAGGGAAAAAGTAAGGAAAGCTGTTCGACAGTTACATGACAACATAAAAATGTATGGTTAGAAAGGAAAATGTTAAGACTGAGTAACTTTTAAAATGTCCTTATCGTTGAAAAATTATAATCTAAAATGCTGATAGAAAAAAATAGATTATTTTGCTCCCAAAATTATCTCAATTTGGGGGGAGGGGTGGCTTGCGTGAATAAATTAATAGAACTCAGGTTGATAATTACAGAACCTAGGCAATGGATAATGAGAATTTACTATGCTTCTCTCATATAAACTTGAAATTTTTCACGAAGTAAATATATAATCCCTTCATATTCAAAGCTCTAATTATGAAAATTATTTCAATATATACAAATGTATGTTTATCTGTGTGTACATATATATATGTGTAAATATAAATAAAAGTATCTGTCCTGGGGCTTGAACTCGGGGCCTGGGCACTGTCCCTGAGCATTTTCGCTCAAGGCTAGCACTCTACCACTTGAAGCACAGCTCCACTGCTGGCTTTTTGGTGATTAATTAAAAATAAAGAGTCTCACAAACTATCCTGCCCAGGCTGGCTTTGAACTTCATCTTAACCTCCTCAGTAGCTAGGTTTATCAGCACCTGGCAAAGAAATTAATTTTTAAGTAGTTTTTTTTCCTTCCCAAGTAGTCTATACTTCTATAAATGTACAGGAAGGATATAAATCCATTTGAACTTTTAGACGTGCCAGACACTGTGTGAGAGTATCAACATGAATAAGATAGTTCACTCATCAGAAGTTACGTGTGTTATGGGCAGAAGGGTATGAAAACAATGGGTGCTAGAGAAGTGGTCATTTCATTTTTTAAATGCATATACTCAGGAAAGACATCCTGCATTATAGCAAGAGCTCACTCTGGAAAGTAAAAACAATCCGTTCCCTTTAAAAACCTTGGCAGAATGATTTTCAAGTTTCTGTCAGTGATTCCTGGGGACCCCCGACGTGTATCCTATTCCCGAGTAACACGATAGTCTGCGGCCGCTGTGCAGAACACAGACGCTATTCACTTAACACGTTCTGGACACCTGGCTTTGCTTCCATTGGCTGTCTGTATGGAAGGCCGGATGTTATTGTCTGACAGGCCCAGGACTGTTGATGTCAAAGATAATAAGGCTGGATTGGTGAAATGTAGAACAGAGAAGTTCTTAAGAGTGATGCCTCCTGTTTGTCAGAGAAGCACCAAGACAAACAATGAGAAAATAGTAATATTTAGGGTGATGTGATGAGCCAGAAAAGCTTGAGAGAGGGGTATAATGCCTCCTACCTCTCAGGGTCCTCACCAAAACCTTTCATTAGAAGCGAAACTTTTAGGTTTGCCATCTGTTCCCTACTGAGGCAGAAAGGAAAAAGAAATGGAATTTCACGGGGTCTTAATAACAGGAATAAAGCAGCTTGGAAATCTTTATGGACACTCCAAATGAGACTACTGTGAAGCCAATCCACCTTCTGCAAATCAGATCCAAGTAGTGAATTCACTAACGAGACTCTGATACCTGAAATCCCGGTGTGTGTGTGTGTGTGTGTGTGTGTGTGTGTGTGTGTGTGTGTGTGTGTGTGTGTGTGTGTGTGTGTGTGTGTAAGAGAGAGAGTGTCAGGCACTCAGGGCTGCAGGTGGCTCTCACCCCTAAAACACTACCCTGCTGCTGACATTTCTACATTTGCAAAAGGAAGAAGAAAGCGTGGTTAGGAGAGGGGAGGGGGGCTCACCTCAACTGTCTAATGCAGGGCAGAGAACAAAAGAATGATAAATATAGTAATAACAGTGTTAGGATGATTCTTGACATATACCTTCCATTGTATTTTTCAAACTTCTTTTAATTATCCTAAGAATTATTTTAAAAATGAGTAAGATCCATTTTAACTGGTTTTATATACCACCATACACATGCATACATACATACATATAATAAAGTATATAAATGCATTTGTATAAACTTAAGCATGCCATATACCATGTAAAGCACTGAGAATGTAGACACCAATAAAAAATAAATGTAGCCAGTCATTGGTGGCTCACATCTGTAATCTAGTTACTCTGGGGGCTAATATTCGAGGACAGAAGCCAGCCCAAGCAGGAAAGTCTGTGAGACTTATTTCCAATATGACTGAAACATGGAAGTAGAAATGTGGCTCAAGTGGTGGAATGCTAATCTTGAACAAAAGAAGCTCATGTATAGTATCCAGGCTTTGAGTTCAAACCTCAGGACCAAAGCGTGCACACACACGCACACATGCACGCATATACGCATATACACACACAAAGATAAAACTCTTCAGGAATGTGTAGTATAGGGTAGGATGAGTCTTAATAATTTAAAATTTTCAAACTAATCTAAATATAATGAGGCCGAAGGTGGTAGTTCACACATTATCTCAGTACACAGAAGGCTAAGGCAGAACTATGTTGTAAGGCCATTCTGGGCTATAGAGTAAAAAAAAGTGTGTGTGTGTGTGTGTGTGTACATCTTTGAACAAAAGGAATTCCAAATGCTAAGGAGTAATTTAGGATAGTGATTGTAATAAATATGTGACCTCCTTTAGACTTGGAAAATGTTCAAGAGAAATTTTCCTTCAGAAGAAGAATTCAGTTACGAAAATATCCGAATTGTATGATTTGTTTCCCAATGTACATTTATTCAAGCAACTCAGAGAGCATCAGACTCACTGTGAAACAAGGCAGCTGCAAAGGATACCATAAAGTATTATCCTAGAGCACTGTGTAGTTTCTTTGGCCTTCTTTTTTAAAAATCAGTATCTTAAAATTGTTTCAAAGAGGAAAGTAGCAAAATATCAATGTAAATCTTTCACAAGCATAGTTTAAGTCATAGATGAAAATGCAATAGATAAAAGTGTATTGTCCTAGATCTTCTAATCTATGTTGTGTTCTTCTATTTCTCTTAATTTTGATGAAGCCTCTCTGGGAATCATCCAAACACATAATTGCTGAGTAGAGAAATGCATGCACACACACACTCCTGCACACACACACACACACACACACACACACGTATACACACACAAATACATGAGGTGCTATGCAGAATTTCCAAAGATATTGCCTCTGGCTTCCCAAGTGACCTTTTGTTTTTTAAATGCCAGTTATTTGGCTACTAAAGGCCTTACATTAACTTTAGCAAAAGCATGAAACACCAAGACCACATGTGCACATTCTGAATACACATGCTTTACTTTTGCAATATTTTAGAATTGCAACAACGTGAATATATCCAAAACCTATAGGCCAACGTGCTTAATTGCTGTCCCTAGCAACAATCATTGTAGTAACAGCTATAACATGAAACACAGATGTTGAAACAGGTACTATACCAGAACTTGACTGGTGATCAGATGGCAGATGGTAAACGGATGTGAAATGATGAGGATCAGAGAGAAAAGGAAAGAGAATGAGCTGAATGCAAGAGACAGGAGAAAGAGATTGATTATTAAATATGAGAAGCATCTGCCACCAACGCTGAAGACAGCAACAATGACATCGATGGCATGCATTCTTATATCTTTATTTTCAATCCCTCCTCCAACCACAACACAAAATTAAACTGAAAAACAAAAAACCCACTCACCATTCTCTTAGGTCATTAATAACATGTAGCACTATCTCCTCCATTATCTCTTTTGCTCTAAAGAATAAAATTGGCTCCACTAATTACAACAAAGTGTTTCCAAAGAAGAAGCACCTGGCTCTGAGCACACTATATAATTTATCCTACATAATGCTCTTCCGAGACCATCAATTTCTTAAAGTGTATCGTCGAAGGTTTCTGTTTTTAAACTCCGGAGATGTATGCTCATTCCACACTGTGCTGTCTTTGTTATTTTATTTCTAGGCTTTGGCAAAAAAAGAAATGAGGACCCAGGGAATATTCATCAAGATGGTCTCTTTCAGAGACAAAATAAAAATAAAAAATTCCCAAGGAAGAGGTCTTAGGCATTATTTAAAGAGGATCACAAAATGGCCATGACAGTAACTGTCCTTCATTCAGTTTATCTCAATAAAGCTAAAAGTTGAAAAAGTACTTAAAAACTGGGTCGACCATTTATGGCTCCACCCACTGATCACTTTCCACCAATGGATGTGATTACCAGAAAACTGTAGCTTCATCTGTTGAGTCCTAAGCCAATGGGCATAGGACACTATTAAGCCCCAGAGTTCCTAAGAAACAACTTCCAGATTTGATCCTAGGCAACATTTAAAAAGAAAGAAAAAGAAAAAAGACCAGAGTCCTACTTCTAGTACCTTCAGCTGCTGCTCGGAGAGTAAACTCCCACACCTCGAGAGAACATTAATGGTTCTCTAAAGAACTAAGCTCATCTATAAATAAAAGAACGCAGAAATCCTAACCAGGCCTATTTTGTAAAGTAATTAAAATGAAAAATTATGAACAGAGATGTCATTATCTTCCAAAGCAAGAACTCACACACATAAAGGAATCCAAGTACGTAAGGTGATACCTTTTATTTTTAACATCTCTGTGGGGGCTGACTTTAGATTTTGCCTTAAAACAAGTGGCAGTTCTATATGATTATTTGGGAGTCATGTTTGATCTGGACACTTCTATTCCTAAGTTGTACTCTACTCTTTCCCTTAAAAAGGATCTATTGATTTGTTTTCTTCAAAGTCATAGGAATTATTATTGATTGTAGAACTATAAATATCCATTTACGGCCAGGCACTGGTGCCTCACACCTGCAAATTTAACTACTCAAGAGGCTGAAATCTGAGGATCATGGTTCAAAGTCAGCCTGGGCAGAAATGCACCAATTAGCTACAAAATATTTTTTTAAAAGCAATCGAGAAGTGGAGCTGATAGTTCTTGTGACAGTCTATCTATCACACTGGGATACACCCAGGTTTGGGCTCAGTCTCCCCTTTGCAATGACTATTACGTGAGCCTAGATAAAGAACTAAGGCTCTTCTTGAAGACTCACTTGCTCCATCTGTAAAATGGAAAAGTTAACAGCTCGGTCTCAGACCATTAATCCCACTATATACGCAAAAGCATGCAAAAAAAAGCTCCTTTCTTTCCTCTTTTCCTGCTCTCATGCCAGGACATTGATATGACAAGAATGGGATGGAGGGGAGGGAACAGAGCTAGGTTCACTTTGACATTTCTGCAGTTTAAGGTAAAAGCTCTACTAGAGGAAATGAATTTCATTATTTTTCCATTTAAAACACTAATTCTGTGTTCTCAAAGAGAACTCTCCCATCATGGAAATCAACCTTACACTCATCTCAGTTTTCCCCTACTTTAAAGATGGCAGTTATATATCAATTGCTAACTAAAGAACGAGGTGAAAAACACTACTCATACTATGATGACATTAAATATATATAGAAATATATGTATAGAAAGAAATGGAAGGATAATGTTAAAAGGTTTGTTGTGGTTATGTTTAGATTGTATTAAAGTCCTCAGCACAGTAATATGGTATTTTTGCCTGTAGATTTGCTAAGCTGTGTGAATGTAATATGCTAGCTACAAATCTATCTCAACCTACCATAAGTATTAACACCAGTTAGCTATGTAGAAGAGTTTCTCCCTTCCCCCAAAAGTACTACTTATATTATTATGTACATTGTCACAAAGGAATACAACACTGCCCTGAAATGGAGACGTTTTAAACACTTTTTTTCCCCTTACAACTGAGTTTTCTTGTGCACTTCCATGTCTTCTTTATCTCATATTGCTGTTTCTCAAGGAAACCATCTAAAGTAGCTTGGTACCTTGCAAATATGCTCCAGGGTGTCCCGTGCAGTATCTCCTGGCCGGACAACAGTCAGGGCTGGCTGATTATTGGGCAGACAGAACCAAGATGGAGTGAAATACTCATGGACCCAAATGTCGCAGTCAGGATTGTGCTGGTGGACGCTAGGTAAGACCACTTCTTTCTCCCTCTGGAATAAGAAGCAAAGTTAGCCAAGCAGAAACAGTCCGTCTCTGCACACAGGTATTATCTATTCCTAGGAAAATGGCCAGGGCAGAAGCAGGGGCCGCGATGGGGGTTAGGAAACCCTTGGAGACAAAGAAAAGCTATTGAGAAAGGAGGAGGATGGTCACAGTGCGGGGGGCGGGGGAAACAGATTTCTGACTTCAGCTATGGGAAGGTTTCCCATGTAGCCCACAGAATCCATTGGTAGGAAAGGCATGAATGAGTAGTACCAAAACATGGAAGAGAACAACAACAAAAAAAAAACCACAGATGACCATTTGGCTCAGTGTTATTGCTATTATTTCATCTACAAACCCATTTTAAGTTTTGAGCAGAGATTCCATCAGCAAATATTTCCTGTATGACATCTATACTTCAAAGCAACAATGAGATCCCATGGAAATATTGCTCATAAAGGTACTGTTCTAACACGACCTATTGACAGGCAGCATCATCATTTTGGGGCTCTCTTTGGGCCTCTAAGCATAACTCTGGGAGAGGGAAAGCTCCATTTCCCAGATAAAGTTCACAGGAATTGAGGATGAGCCTCCTGGCCAGCCTCCTGAGGTCATTGAAATTACTCCATCCAAAAATGAGGGATAATAGAAAGCTTGCAAATGTAGAAGCAAGCTGAGCAGCTGAAGAAAATGCTCCATAAATAGAGGAAAAATGAGGAGCCCAGTCATATAATCCAGAAAATAATTCTCTTAGATATTGGCAATGTAAACACTGTATTGATTATTGATGTTCACTATGTTCCAACTAATATGACTGCACTGTTGGCGTATAACCAAACCATGGATTGGAAATTATATAATTATAGATTACAAAGGACAAAGCTAATTACAAGAAGCACATTACAAGAAGAAAAAAGTTTCTAAACAAAGGTTCAGAAGTAACACAACAACTTCCATATGAAAGAAGGGTAGGATCCAAGAATGGGGAAATGTTCCAGTAAAGACCACTAAGATAGCCAGGCACCAGTAGCTCACACCTGTAATTCTAGATACTCAGAAGGCTGAGATCTGAGGATCACAGTTCAAAGCCAGCCTGGGCAGGAAAGTCTGTGAGACTCTTATCTCCAAGAAACTACTAGAAAAACGGAAGTGGAGCTGTGGCTCAAGCAGTAGAGCGCTCACCTTGAGCTGAACAGTGCAGGGACAGTGCCCAAGCCTAGAGTTCAAGCCCCACGACCACCACCACCAACAACAAAAGACCACTAAGCTAAACCCAACTGCAGATCATCATTTCAGCCATGCCTTTGAATGCTATGGCTTTCACAGGTAAGTAGGACTCCAGGGAAAGAATTGCCAAACAGCAATCAACTTGCCCATATGCCATTAACTGTGAATGGAATCTTCCAAATGTTCTTACATGCTGTGTAAATGAAGAGCCCAACAGCACTTGAGTTTGACATGGAAACTGCTCTTTGAGAACAAGGCCTTCTAGCCAGGAAGTGAGATTTAGATAGATAGTTAGACATACAGACAGACAGAGAGACAGACAGATAGACAGACAGATAAAATGTCTGAGGAAAAAAAAGAAAAAAAACTAATAAAACTTATACATAAATCCAATGGCAAAAAACTAAATTGTCACCTTCTGTGTGTGGGAGAGGCTAGTCCATCATTCACATAGTGTGGAAGATGAACTGACCTCCTTTAGAACTGACTAAATAAATACCCAAAACTGTCTCTGATAGCAATATAATTTCATCAAATCTTGTCACAGATAGAAAGAAAGTGAGTATAATGGTGGGGTAGTTCCAAGGACAACTGGCTTGGTAGCCAGGATGACATCATCGGGCATTGTCTGCACATGGCCTTCTGATGGCCACTTTTTCCCCTTTCCCTCCTAGAACCAGATCCTCATGTACTGTGGTTTGAGACTCAGATCTTTCTAGAACATGGAGCTCAGTCACTGCTCGTTGACACTGTTTGGTTGCATGGCAACCAAGAGCTAAATTCTGTCATATTGATCCTGAGTCTGGAGAGCCAGAGAATCTTACCAAGGAGATGTTATCAACATCAGAACCTCCAAACAAAAAGGCACTTTGGACTTGGAAACTAGGGATGTCCATTGATTTAGAGGGTGAAAAAATTGTCAATAGAGGGAAGGGAAAGAAAAATATCACATTATCTTTCTGGGCTTTCAATCAAAGCAGTTTGAAAGCCTCTATTCAATTCAAGTGTAAGATTGAACTAAGTCTGTAAATTGTTAATTGAATACTTGACATGGGAAGCAAATGCATTTTTTTTTAAAGAACACAGTATCAGAACATTTCTTGGGAATTTAGTAGGAGCAAAATAGCATGTGTGGGCGGGGAACGAGGGCAGTCAAAACTCACCTCTTGGGAACAGAAGTTGTACATAAAAAGGAATTAGCAGTGACATAAAACCGCTAACTCACCACTCAAATTGTCTCATATTCTCATAGGAAATGTAACACATCAAATGATACGCATGAAAAATGTTATGTCAGCAGGAGAATGTTATTATTATCATCAGATTTTAAACATAAAATGATTTCTCCAGCTCACACTGACCTGTTATACAACTTTTTTTTTAAAAAAAGCTAATAATTTCAGTTTTTCATATTAAGTTGGCTTAATTTTAGTATTCCAAGAAACCATAGCATTGTGCATGTGCTGATGCATTTGTGGCACTTCTAGAAAAGGAACACGTGTTTATTTTTACCTTGCCATCTGGAACAATGTCATCAAATATTCCCTCCAAAGATTTCTTTACAGCGTCAGTTCCCTCTCCAAACACCTGCATATACAAAGTAACGTCTTAAAAAAAGAAATTTGAGCAATGAGGCAAATTAACCATGGGAAGGATAGAAATGGACAAGACTATTAGAATACATTATAATAGTTTTCAGATACTCCTACATCAAATCCCAACGTGGGGTGTAGAATGTATGGTAGCATACTGTGAAAATCACATCTTGTATGCAGATTAACTTCTCATGCCTTTAATTTTTTAAGATTATTTTTTGATCTGGATAGTTTCTATATTAATTCAAGGAAAATAAACTTACAAAAGCACTAACTAGATTCACTTAGATGAGAATTTATGCCTTACATATCTCATCAGGTATTTAGAAATAATATTCACTTTATTTTTTATCACTTTTTTAAAGGTAGGCATTAGATGATTTTTTTTAAAAAAACATACCATGCCAGAGAAGCTTCTTCAAATTATAAATGAGAAAAATACTTATTTTTTGAAATCTAGTGAATCTGACTAGCTTAATGATCACATGAAAATCATAACACTAGGCAGCCAATACCCAAACACATGGGCATGGGGAATTTTATGTGCTGGTTATAAAATAATCATACACTATTAGGATAAAGTACATGGTTAAGAAAAAGCTTTGCATTGAGTACAAATCAAGTACAAGAAAACAAGTGGCATACATCGACCTGAATTAATTAGTGAGTTAGTGAAGAATGAATTAATGAGTAAATTTCTATTGGAATGTTGGCTGCTAAGCAAGAAGATTTTGAAAATTCCTACTTTAAGAAAAAATTAAATGATGTATAAAAGACTACATTGTCGGGGCTGGGAAGGTGGCTCAGTGGTAGAGCGCTTGCCTTGCATGCCTGAGTCCCTGGGTTCGATTCCTCAGCACCACATAAGCAAAAAGAAAAAAGCTGGAAGTGGCGCTGTGGCTCAAGTGGTAGAGCGCTAGCCTTG